GAGCCCTTGGCGCCGCCGCCGCCGCTGCCGCCCACCTGGCAACAGGCTCAACCCCCGCCTTCCCCTGGCCCCCGTCAGAGGCCCTGAAGCTCCAGACCCGCCCCGTCCCCAGCCGGGCAGGTGCTGGGTGACATCAGAGCTGGGCTCCCGCCCCGTGACGCGACGGGGCCCCGCCCTGCGCTGGACCGCGGAGGTCGCCGCACCTGAAGAGGACCGGGATTCCCGTGCCCTCTCCCCATCTCCCCGCTCCGGTCGGCGCCCCCAGGTAGCCCCGAGGATCTGCGAGTTGAGGGGGCGGTGACACAGGCGCTTGGGTCCAGGGGAATGGGTATTGGGCCCTCGGACTCCTGGATCCGAGGAGGGGCCTTGGGGGCCGGTTGTCCCGGGTCTGAGGAAGGACTGCGCTGCGATCCCGAACTCGTGGGTCTTGGAGGAGGAAAGGACTCGGGTCAGGACTGTAGTTCTGGGGTCTTAGGGGAGGAGGCGGCTGCAAGCCCGGATTCCTGGGTCTGTAGGAGCAGGGGCTGGGGGCCTGAACTCCTGGGTCTGAGACAGGAGGGCATTGAGTACTGGGACTCCGGAATCCTAGCGCTAGAAGCCAGGGTCAGACGGCTGGATGCCAAGGGCCCCAACCTCTGCCCCAGGGCGGATCCCTGGCTGCTTTTCTTTTTCAAGCCCAGCAGTCTTGGCCCCTCCCAGGGCAGGTGCTTTCACCTGCCCAGGTGACAGTAATTAGCCCTGGCAGAGTATTCCTGCTGGGTGAGGAAGGGTAGAGCAGCCAGAGAGGCTGGGCCACTTGGAGCCAAGGCCTGCAGGCCCTGCCCGCCCCATCAGGGCTGTGATCGGTCTCCAGAACTCAGCATCCTCACCTCTAGTCCGGCTGCAGTGAGGTGAGGGGGCCTGCACTTCCCCAGCCATAGGAGGAGGGGGCTGGGGGCTCAGACTCCTGGGTCCTGGGAGAGGAGGAGGCTGGGAGCCTGGACTCCTCAGCCCCCGGAAGGAAAAGGCTGGGGGCTTGGACTCTTGGCTCCAGGGAGGAGAGGCATAGGGCATAGGGTGATTGCAAAAACTCCCAAACCCTTCCTGGTCAAAGGCCACAGGGCTGGAGAGGAAGTGGATGGGGTGGGGTGGGGTGGGGTGGGGGGGGTGGGGGTGAGGGTAAAGTGCCAGGGATGGAGTTTGGGTCTGGTGTATCCAGGTCACACTGGAGGCCTGGGGTGAGCCTTGACGATTTGGGGGTCACGGGGTGGAGAAACTCCCTGCTGCATTCAGAGTGCAGGGGTCCAGCGTTTGAGGCCTGAGCGCCTCAGGGCCAAGAGTCACTGGAAGCTGGAGCTGCTGGGCTCAGGGAAAAGAGGAGAGGGTCTGGGAGGAAGTGGGTCCTCTGAGCGGACCTGAGATTCCCGTGGGAGAGGCTTGAGGGAAAGGCAGGAGTCTGTTGGGACCAGATCCAGGGATGCCTCCAGGGCAGCTGGGCGTTTAGGACTTTTCCAGGGGTATGTGGGAGCCAGGTGGGGATGGCAGGTGAATATAGGTCTGCTGGGCAGAGGTGAAGTCCTGCTGTTGGGGAGACAGAAATCTTCTACTGTTTCTGTGATTGATGTGCTGGGGCAGTGATGGGGACATTTGAGGCAGTGGATGAGAGTAGGGGCCGGGTGTGGTGGCTCATGCCTGTAATCCCAACACTGTGGAGGCCAAGGCAGGAGGATCACTTGAGCCCAGGAATTAGAGATCAGCCTGGGTAACATAGTGAGACCCTGTCTCTACCAGAAAAAAAAAAAAAAATGCTGGGCCTGGTTTTGCGCGCGTGTGGTCCCAGCTACTCAAGAGGCTGAAGTGGGAGGATCACTTGAGCATAGGAGTTGAGGCTGCAGTGAGCTGTGATTGTGCCACTGCACTCCAACTCTGGCCTGGGCAATAGAGTGAGACCTGTCTCTAAGAAAAAAAAAAAAAAAAGAGAGAGAGAGAGAGAGAGAAGGGGCAGATTTCTTTAGCAGGATAGGGAGAATATTTTTCCTGCCTGGTGCTTGGACCACCTTGGAATTGCCACTACTGTCCATGACCCCCTGGATGGCGGGAGGGACCCAGCACTTTCTAGTTCCCCCAGTACCTGGTTGCCTCTGTGATAGCTGGAGCTGGATCTACCCCTAAGCCAGGAGCTCCCCCAGGCAGGGCTCCCAGTGGACTCTTCTCTGGGTCCTCAGACCCACTCAGGGCAGAGTCTCGTACTTGAAAGTCCTCAGAGAGTTGAATGAATGGGGCCAGTTTCCCCATTTTACGGAGAAGGAGCCAGATTCCCACAGAAGGAAGGAATTGTTCACTGAAGCAGTGAGATTCGAGTCTATTCGGCAGGCATGAGGTAGGCATGACCAGAGGTGATCATGGAATCTGAATGACAAAAAATCAGGTCAATTCCCTCCCTGGGCTCACATCTTAGAGTAAAAGCAAGGTCGCACCTTTTGTTCCCTCTTTTATATTCCCTCCCACCCTCTGCCCCTCGATCATTTGGCTCTAGCCACGCTGCCCACCTCCCAGTGCCATAGCCACACAGGTGCATTGCAGCCCCAGGGCCTTTGCACTGCTAGCCCCAGGACCTTTCCACTGCTGTCTGGAATGATTTTTTTTCTCCCAACAACCCCTTGGCTCACTCCTGTCATCTCCCTTAGGTCTTAATTTAAATGTCACGCCAGACAGGCCCTCCCTGGCCCCCCTAATGAAAACTTCAACATTCTCAACCCTAACATCCCCTGTTCCCTGGTTTATTTCTCCCCTTGGCATTTATTTACTTGGCATTTATTTACCATTTAACATACTATATGACTGGGCACGGTGGCTCATGCCTGTAATCCCAGCAATTTGGGAGGCCCAGGCGGGCGGATCACCTGAGGTTGGGAGTTCGAGACCAGCCTGGCCAACATGGTGAAACCCCATCTCTACTAAAAATACAAAAATTAGCCAGGCACAGTGGCATGCACCTGTAATCCCAGCTACTTGGGAGGTTGAGGCAGGAGAATCGCTTGAACCTGGGAGGCGGAGGTTGCACTGAGCCAAGATCAAGCCACTGCACTCCAGCCTGGGCGACAGAGCGAGACTCTGTCTCAAAAAAACGAAAACAAACAAAGAATCCCCCAAAGACCACCAAACATACTATATTTGGTTTTTGTAAAAAAAAAAAACAAAAAAGAGAGAATTTTTAAAAAACAAAAACCATACTATCTAATTTATATTTTTAATCTTTTTATCTGTCTCCTGGGATTAGAGCAGCTGTGTCCAATAGCAATATAATACAGGCCAGACGTGTAATGTAACATTTTCTAGTAGCCACATTTAATGATAAAAGTAAAAAAGGAACGGGTAACATTAATTTAATGATATATTTTATTTAACCCAGTAGATTGAAAATATTATTTCAACATGTCATTAAATATTTAAAATCTCAGCGAACTATCTTTTTGTTGTACTAAGTCTTGAAAATCTGCTGTGTGTCTTACACTTAAAACACCAGATGGGGCTATTTATATTTAAATTTTAAGATGGGGCTCGGTGGCTCACACCTGTAATCCCAGGACTTTGGGGAGCCAAGGCAGGAGGATCACTTGAGCCCAGGAGTTTGAGATCATCCTGGGCAACAAAGACGACCTTGTCTCTACAAAATAAATTTAAAAATTAGTAGGCATGGTGGCATGCCTGTTAATACATTTATTTATTTATTTATTTATTTATATTTTGAGACAGAGTCTTGCTCTGTCACCCAGGCTGGAGTGCGGTGGCGCCATCTCGGTTCACTGCAAGCTCCGCCTCCCGGGTTCACACCATTCTCCTGCCTCAGCCTCCTGAGTAGCTGGGACTACAGGCACCCGCCACCACACCCGACTAATTTTTTGTGTTTTTAGTAGAGACGGGGTTTCACCGTGTTAGCCAGGATGGTTTCGATCTCCTGACCTCGTGATCTGCCCACCTTGGCCTCCCAAAATGCTGGGATTACAGGCATGAGCCACCGCACCCGACCATATTTATTTTTTAATTAATAAATTTCAGACATGAATCACCTGAGGCCGGGAAGTTGAGGATGTGGTGAGCCATGATTGCACCACTGCACTCCAGCCTGAGCAACAGAGCGAGACTCCATCTCAAAATAAAATGATATAGATTTAATTTAAATGAATGAAATTGAAAATGTGTTTCCTCAGTGACACAGGCCACATTTCTAGTGCCCAGTAGGCACAGGTGGTGGTGGCTCCCGCACTGGACAGCCCAGGGCTAGAAAGTAAACTTTTGGAGGCAGCCGTCTTCTTCCAACTTGTCCAGTGCTCCATTGTCAATGCCCAGAACTGAGCCTGGCCGGGCATGGTGGCTCACGCCTATAATCCCAGCACTTTGGGAGAGTCAAGAGGGTAGATCACTTGAGGTCAGGAGTTCAAGACCTGCCTGGACAACATAATGAGACCCTCATTTCTACAAAAATTGAAAATAATTAGCCGGGACTGGGTATGGTGGCTCATGCCCATAATCCCAGCACTTTGGGAGGCCGAGGCGGGCAGATCACCTGAGGTCAGGAGTTCAAGACCAGCCTGGCCAACATGGTGAAACCCCGTCTCTACTATAAATACAAAAATTAGCCGGGCGTGGTGGCAGGCACCTGTAATCCCAGCTACTCAGGAGGCTGAGGCAGGAGAATCACTTGAACCCTGGATGCCGAGGTTGCAGTGAGCTGAGATCGTGCCATTGTACTCCAGCCTGGGCAATAAGCAAGACTCTGCCTCATAAAAAAGAGAACTGACTCTCAGGGCCTGGTTCACAGCCCAGCTTATTAAAGAATGAATGAGTGCCTAGAGAGGTGAATGAATGAAATGAGTAAGCCAGGTCTGTTAACCCAGAAGGGTGGCAAGAGATCTGATAAAGGAAGGCAGAGGGGCTGCCTGGGGAATTTGGGGTAGGGAAGGGAGGCACTGGGGATGGAGCCTCATCTGACCTCCACCCTCTTTCTCTGCCCCCTGCAGACCATGGCAGCTGTGACCATGTCGGTGCCTGGGCGGAAGGCGCCCCCCAGGCCAGGCCCAGTGCCCGAGGCTGCCCAGCCATTCCTGTTCACGCCCCGCGGGCCCAGCGCAGGTGGCGGGCCTGGCTCGGGCACCTCCCCGCAGGTGGAGTGGACGGCCCGGCGTCTCGTGTGGGTGCCTTCGGAGCTTCACGGGTTCGAAGCCGCGGCGCTGCGGGACGAAGGTGAGGAGGAGGCGGAGGTGGAGCTGGCGGAGAGCGGGAGGCGGCTGCGGCTGCCCCGGGACCAGATTCAGCGCATGAACCCGCCCAAGTTCAGCAAGGCCGAGGACATGGCCGAGCTGACCTGCCTCAACGAGGCCTCGGTCCTGCACAACCTCCGGGAGCGGTACTACTCGGGCCTCATCTACGTGAGTGGCCTCCTGCTGGGGGGCGGGGGACGGGGGCGCGGGGTTGCTGCCGGGTGGGGAGCCGGGTCCACACCCCAACCTGCATTAACTCGAGGCTGTGTATCATCTGTATCCCATGTCCCGTGACTATTCCTACACTTACTTGGTTGCCAAATTATGAATTAATTGTTGGATTCCTAGGACAGCCTCAGAACCTACTGGGGACATCGCATGATATATATGGTAGATAAACTGTATTATTTTCCTAAAGTATAAAACGTTCCAATTTCTCAGATATAACTCATCCCGAGTTTTAAGGAACAGAAACAGATCTGTGACAATCATTAATGTGAATCACTGAGTATAGAAATGTGTTGCTTGAGGTTCAAGAGCAGCCTGGGCAACAAAACGAAACCCTGTCTCTTTTTTTTTTTTTTTTTGAGACAGAGTCTCACTCTGTCACCCAGGCTGGAGTACAGTGGCCGGATCTCAGCTCACTGCAAGCTCCGTCTCCCAGGTTTATGCCATTCTCCTGCCTCAGCCTCCCGAGTAGCTGGGACTACAGGTGCCTGCCACCTCGCCCGGCTAGTTTTTTGTATTTTTAGTAGAGACGGGGTTTTACCGTGTTAGCCAGGATGGTCTCGATCTCCTGACCTCGTGATCCGCCCGTCTCAGCCTCCCAAAGTGCTGGGATTACAGGCTTGAGCCACCGCGCCCGGCCTTGAAACACTGTCTCTTAAAAAAAGATAAATTAGCCAGGTGTGGTGGTGGCCCATGCCTTTAGTCCTAGCTTCCAGGGAGGCTGAGGCAGGAGGATCACCAAGGCTGCAGTGAGCTGTGATGGTACCACTGCACTCCAGCCTGGGTGACAGCATAAGACCCCATCTCAAAAACAGACAAAAAGCAAAAAAGTATATGCTAGGCTCTGTGCTAAATGCCTATCTTTTAATTCATTCAATCTCATCATAGGAAAAGTAGAGTCTATTATTGTTCCCATTTTACATAAGAGGCAAATCAGGCCCAGAGAGAGTTAATAACAATAAAAATGAACATTTATTAAACATTTACCAAGCCTTCTTCCAAGCTTTCTAAAATACATTGCCTCTACATTTTTGGAATTAGAAAGCATCTGATCCTCATTTTACAGGTAAGAAAACTGAGGCACGGAGAAGCCAAGTTCACACAATTAGACCTGGCAGATTCAGGTGGTCCCAGGCATTCTCACTTTGCTGTGGTGCCTCTTAAGATTGAGATGGGGCTGGGAAGGGTGGTTTATACCTGTAATCCCAGCACTTTGAGAGGCTGAGGTGGGTGGGTTGCTTGAGCCCAGGAGTTCGAGACCATCCTGGGCATGGCCATCCCTGAAAAAAAAAAAAAAAATTAGCTGGGCATGGTGGCACACTCTTGTAGTCCCAGCTACTTGGGAGGCTGAGGTGGGAGAATCACCTGAGCCCTGCAGGTTGAGGCTGCAGTAAGCTGTGATAGTGCCACTGTACTCCAGCCTGGGTAACAGATCAAGACCCTGTCTCAAACAAAACAAAACAGTACAAAAACCCATTGAGAAGGGATTGATGATAGCTAGGTTGACTATGGTAGTCTTCCCACATCTGTGCTAAGCGTTGGATGTTCATTGCATTTTTAAAACTCTTTAGAGCAAACAGATGGGGTAGGGCAGTGGTTCTTAACCCCACCTGCATGGTAGAGTCATTTGGGGAATTCTTAGAAAATACCAGTGCCTGAGCCCCACCCCAGAACTTTAAATTAAGCTCTCTGGGGCTGTGACATGAGCAATGGTATTTTTTTTTTTTTTTTTTTTTTTTGAG